AAAAAAAATAAAAAGAGTCAAGTAGTCTTAAGTGCGGCTCTGGGGAGAGACTGGTTTCTCCAAGGCACAGAAACTGGCTTCTCGGAGCTAACAGCTTAAGCGCCATAAAAATTAAAGGATGTGATAGTAACAATGCTCACAGCAAACACTCAGCAGCGTTCCCTCCCACCCCTCCCCCTCCTTCGCTCCCTGTGAACCAACTTCTCTGTCTACACTTCAGAAGTCTCCGGGAGGTGTGGAGAGATCCTCCATCACGACTTGGGACATTGTAAGCTGTGAAGTTTATGTTTGTGGCGCCTGGGCTCAAACAGCCATTCAGTGGCTTGCTCAGTTATCAAGAAAACAACAATCAGAAAAGATCAGTAAACAGAATCGGCTGCCAGCGCCCTGAATTAACCACTTGCATTTTAGTTTAAAAGCATTGACCCACACTGTACAAGTTAATTGTTTTTATTTTAAATAGTTAATGAGAATTTAAGATTTGGGGGCATTTTTGAAAGTAACACTTTTTAAATAAATGCACACACACAAAGAAATGCTTTAGCCTTTTTCTCCCTGCACATCAGTCCAAGGAAAATTTGACTTGCCTTGTTGTTGTGACTAATCTTTAATTGTTGATTAGCAGAAAGGAAGTAAATAGCCCTTAATGAATAAAACTCAAGCATAATTTGGATTATAAATCTCCCTTACAAAAACTGACTAAACTTTACAGATAAGAAAATAAGTACTTTCTGCTTAGTTTACTTGTACTAGGGTTGGAATTAAAAACCCAAACTGATTGAGTTCTATCCAGATTTAGCTCTTCTGGTGGTTTGGACAGAATTTTTAACTTTTTCCTTCTTTTCTTAAGAAAATGGAAAAGACTAAATAAATCCACATGGGATTTACAAGAGATATTTCATTGAGAACGATCTTATGGCTTAAAGATTCAAGGTGCTAGGGAAATGCCAACTACTTGTAGGTACCTTAAAAGCACATTGTCTTTTAGCTAATAGTCAAAAGACCAAAAAAAGAGGTCAATGCAATGAGTTTAACAAGCTTATTAGGGTGAATTGCAGCAGAGTATTACAAAGTCATCCATTTAATCTTGAATTCCAAAAAAAAAAAAAAAAAAACTTGTGAATTGGTAAGTGGGTACACACACCCACGAAGAATGTCAAATAACCAGAAATGTTATTTCAATGAAGAAAAAAGTCTCTTCAAATATGATTCTAACTTAGAAAGGACCTTTTTTAATGGTAAGGAAAACCAGGCCCATTTAATGAAAAGGAAAGAGAGACAGTAGACTGAAATAGAAGATGTTATTGCTCTGAAACAATGGAGGGGGGAAATCCTGAGTATCGACATTGATATGGATTGCCTGATTTAAGGAGAGCATCCTGGATGTTTTTAGGTGCATTAAGTTTTAGCTTGCAGAAGCTGGAGGAAATGAGTCATAATGTCCAGAAGGAAGAATTCAAAGTAATAAGGGGAAGGAGGATCAAAGATAATAGCAAACAGGAGGAATTTCATTAGAAGAGCACAGCTCAAAGCTAGGTCTCCAGAGGTGTGCAGGAAAAAGGAGAGTATGTGCAAGAGATGGTTTGCAAACAAGGAGACATTTCAGCTACACATTTTAGAGCGCGTGCTGAGGAGTCTAGAGGGGAACACACCTTTCATATGAATAATACAAGAACTAGAATGCTATCGACCCATCAATCCATTCTCAGCCATCAGGCAACAAATATCTTGAATCTAGCAAGTGAAACCAAATCGTTCATCACTCCCCTCCCAAATTACTGTACTTAAATTCAAGCTGTGGACCTCAGAAAAGTCTGACATCTATATATGTAAAACATCACCTCCTTCCCCACCCTCCACCCCCCTAATCTAAGGAATAAATGTCAGGATGAGAAAGCATCACAAAGATGTGTGCCTCACTTAAGTCCCTCCAGTGCATTCAAATCCTAAATAAATTTTTCCCATCTAACCTCTACAGAGTCCACCAGAGGCTATGGCTGGGGAAGGGCATTTAATGGTTTCCAAACCAGGGCTTGGGCGGTCAGTAACTTTGCAGACACCAGTATTCACGTTAGACCTGCCATCTTTGCAATTATCAGTTAGCCATCCCAGGTATGATGGGGAGAAAAAGGAAAACTGAAAAGCAGGCAAATAGAAATAGTGAACAGAAAGGTAAAAGAGCCAAGTCTGATGGGGGACATTAGAGAGAGATGGGAGAGGGGAGAGACAGAGATAGATGATAGATGATGATAGATGATAGATTGATAGATGATAGATAGATAGATAGATAGATAGATAGATAGATAGATAGATAGATAGATAATAGAGAAAGAGAGAGATCTTTCCAGGAGAGGATCTGTGTAAGATAAGACGTAACTCCTGTTTTTCTCAACAGAAGACCACAAGCCATTATTACCGCCGGCCAAATTATTACCCCTCTGTGAAGAATTAGACACAACAATCAAAGTAATCAACTGGCATGTCTAATGCACTGTAACATTTTCAATGCAAAGTTTGTTTTCTCTTTGCCCCCACGTTAGAGCCTGTAATTAACCCGTTATGTAGAACGATGCCAAACAAAAGGCTAATTGAGGCTCGTTTCCCGACTTGCGGCAGGTTTGGAGAGTGTGAAAGCAACTGAAGAGCCCGGGAGCGCGGGGCTCACCCGGTCTCCAGCCAGGCCTCCACGCTGCCCTCTGTCAGGGGTCTGAAGGGGCACGCGCCACAAGACACACGATTAGGGTACGTTAGCTCTCGTATTTATTAAGAATTGTCAGATACTTAAAACGGCATGACACTCGAGCATACAAATGAATCCAGTTTCTAAAAAGTCAAAGTATCATCCTGGGGTGGAGAAAGGAAAGGCGACAGGGTGGAGCCCCAAATCCTAACTCTACACCCGCAAACGAAGAAGCACCAAGAAGCCTGATTTCGGGCAGGGCCCTTTATCTAACCCTGGGTTCTGGCTCTCACACAGAACTACTGCTAAATTCAGGGGCGGGAGACTGGTTTGGGGGAGTGTTAGAGCGCAACTCAGACCGCGGAGGGGGCCTGCAGAGCACGCGACCCGGCCCCAACCCATAAAAGGCTTTTTCCAAAGGAGCCTCCGCCGCGCTTCTCTGCCCTAGCCCGACATCCTTCCAAGGTTTGGGGAATTAGAGTTGGGGGAGAAAAAGGAAAGGAGAGGGGGGTTGGAAACAAATTGGGGGTGGGGAAGAGAGACAAGAAAAAAACACACGCTGACTGGTCTGGGAATTGCTGAGAAAACTCTCCCCTCTCGGCCTGCTCTTCCTGCGCAAATAAAGCAGCATTTCCCAATCGGCTGACAGCCGCCACTGGTAAATAATGGTCATACCTCACTGACTAGGCAGAAAGGCTCTCTTTTAGCAAGAGCTTATACTTGAAATATAGGTCATTTCAACAATCCTAAGCAGGAGACTTTGGTATAAAGCACTTACTCCCAGAAAATAAAATAGTGACTCAGAACCAAAACCCATTTTAAGCAGGACCCTCTTCCTATTTAGGGTGGGGTGGATCGGGCAAGAAAAGAGACAGGAGGAAGGAGAGGTAGGGAGCAGAATGGGGGGGATAGCATCTCATTTTCAAAAAAAAAAAAAAAAAAACAGGAACATCATCACAGCTGAGAACCGAAGGCTTCCAACCAGTTTTGATTAGACTATTAAAATGCAAACTGGCAAATTCGACCTTAACTATTTGCAATAAAATATCATACCTATTGTATGTCAGTTTACCCCATTCACATGCAGTCCTTAATTTCAGACATTTTAATGGCTTACTTGTAAACATATAAAAGAGGGACCCTGGATCATTGCATTTATTTATTTATCTATGCCAAACGTTTATTAGTGAAATAGTCCTGAAGATATAATTCTACATATGGCGCTTTGATTTCACATAATATTTAGGAAAAAAGACAAAACACATAGAATTAGACATATAATTCAAAGACCACGGTATAACCTTTATCTTTTTTTTTTACTTCAGCAAACAAAAAATAATGTCAAATGACATGAAAAGTGGCAAGTCTTTCGACAATAAATAATAAATTACTTTATAATTTTTGCAATGCAAGAGCAAACAAAAAAAAAAGTTTCCTTTTTTTTTTCCTCTTTATTTCCAGAGAGAGAAAACAGTCATTTTAACCAATAACTATACACATCTTTGGGGGAAAAGTTCATGGATAGACACAAGTCAAACACAATCCCGAGACGCTTGTGGCAAAATAGAGGTAACCTTGTTGCAATGCTTTATAAGTTGGTTTTTAAATTTGAATTCAAAAACCTTTAAAGTCGCTTCAGACTTCTTGATAGAGGATGGATCTCAAAAAAAAAAAAAGAAAAAGAAAAAGAAAGAAAGAAGAAGAAGGGGGAGGGGCAAAAGTAAAAAAGAAACCAGCTACAGGACATGCTAAGAGACCCAGGATTTCACTTAACCCCTTGTTAAAGTCAACTAAAAACATCGCAAACCAACGCAGCTCCACCTTCCTGAAAGGACTCTTTCAGCCAAGGAGGCCAGTTTCTCTTCCTGCTCATTTGCTGGAGCTCCTGTTTGGCAAGGCAATGACCAATATAGAAACAGCACCATTCAGAATAGGATGGACTAGAAAATCTCTATTTCTGCTTTTCTCTAGATGTGCAGTGAAATGAAAATGCTTTTTTTGAGATCCTTGAATATAAATCCTCTACGTTTTAAAAACGTCTTTTTTTTTTTTCAGTACTCCTAAGGTCATTGGATAGCGTATGTTGGGTTTGGGTTTTGTTTGTTGTTTAATTCTAGTAAAATCCCATGATTGTCTTCACAGTGTTGCTACCATATCACCTTGTCATTAAAACAGACTTCGTGCATTTCATGGAGCATTCATTTCTCGATTCAGTTTTCATTGACTGGGTCGTTAAATACTTTTGTTTCGGAGTTCAACATTATACTTTCCCACTTTCTCCAACAGGGAAAAAAAAAAAATACATCTGAATGAATGTTCCTCATGCCTCAATAGGACTGGCTACCATGCTGTTAGGTGTATCTGGGAGCTGAGAGGACATCGACGCCACTTCACTGCCAGTGGAATTAGAGCCCGGTCCTCCTTCTGAAAAATTCACCTGCATGGAAGGTTGAGAAATGAATAAAGGAGGCTGCGATCGTATTCTTAAAAGGATTATAAACTTGTCATATGTGTATACGTACGTGCGAGTGTTTGCGTGTGTGGATGGGTACGCAGATAAAGATATCTACATATATAAACTGAATTTTAACAGGCTTAAAGAAAGCCCACAAAGAAAAGAACTTGAGAAGAAATCTTATCGCTTTCCCATCTTTCAAGAGATCTCTGTTTTAACTGAAACTGAATTCCCAACATTGTGTTGCATTGAATTATTTAAGAACAAATGTGTTTCCCACTGTAAAATGGCATCACAACTCTACCATGCATGCTCGAAATAAAATTATCCTGCTGGCTACATGCTGCCCTGGGAGCAGGCGAGTTCTCAGTCTCTAGGCATCAAAGCCTCTCTTCTTGAGTTGGAAAATCCATAACATACGCTCAGATCGTGTGACAGGAGATTCAGAGGAGGCTCCACAGAACAATGATTAACTCCTCAGAGGGTTCACAGCGTGGGCTTTCTTCCTTGTTGTTGGTCCTACTGCCTTTTGGCCTTCCTCTGTCTTTCTCTTTCTCTCTCTCTCTTTAAATCAGGCTCTTCCTTCGGAGAAGAGACCCATATATTATAACGTCATCGCATTATAAATATCTGGCTCCTTCTTTTAAACCGAAAGTATTGTGTTGCTGCTGGAAACCTCCTTCTCCACTCTGCCTCCACATCCCCCTCCTGTCTTGGCTTCCCTCCCACTGCGCTCATCTAACACTAAAGTTTTAGAAGGTACAAACACTTGGCTGCCCTGAACCCTTCTCTTACTTGCCTTCTATGATCCAAGTTTTGCTCAAATAACTCATAAGATTAACCTCACTTTAAAATAAGTCCTTTTTCCTAATTCCAGCGTCTACCTTCCTTTCTATTCTATTAAACTTTCCCATGGTGAGGTCAAGGGGCTTCTCAAATTTGCCCAGCCTCTAGACTGGCCCACTTACAAATGTAAACCTGGGCCAAGTCCTTGTAACCACTGCCTCTGGCCTATTACCTAACTGTTGCCACAGAGAAAGAAAATGTTCCCCCGGGTAAGTGTGAGGGTAAAAAGCTAACCTCAACTAAAGTTTTATTTTCAAAGAAAGGAACAAGTTTTTAGAATAGATCTTGTTTTATAGAACAAGATTCTATAGGACTGTTGACTATTTAAGAAAAAAAATGATGTGTATATATGCCCTATCACAAAGTACATAAATTTAATGATCCTATTTATCTTGATCCTTAAGCCTTTTGTAGGCATAAGGTGAGTTAATTTTCTCTTCTCTGGGTCTGTAAAACATATTAATGCTAAAACAGGTGTTCATGCGCTATCTCTCTGATGGGTAAAACTCATGTTCCTTTGGCTAGACATGCCCCACAGTATGTGATTGTGTATGACATCTGAACTCATACACTTCAAATGTTAAAGTAGTCCTGCATTGTAGATTAAGGTGGTCCCAGAAAGGGATATTAATAACCAAAGGTATCCATCGTGTCTTCAAATAACTGAACTCTCTATTGATACATTTGGAAAATTGTGCTCAGACAGGTGCCTGCTGCCCATTGATAATAGCATTGATTATGTCTTACAACATCGGTTATTAATACAAACACCTTGATTTAGGTCTTTAAATATACCATTCTCTAGGAGCTGAGGAGGGAGTAAATTTACTAATTGCTGATCTAAAGCCCCTTCCAGCTCTAAAAGTTTAAGATGTTTGATTTTGCAACCCTGTACACCTTCCCATGCATGTCTAGGTACTTAGATACCTTGGAGGTTATCCCTCAAAGCAGGCCCAGTTGATAGAAAATTCAACCTGTATGGTCAAATTAGGAACTCACAGAAAAGACTCACAAGAAGTTTGTTTTCCTTGAGCACTTGCCTCATCTACACCAAGCCTTCTTCATCTCTCCTCAACCCTGGAGCCAGGGAGGCACCCTCTCCCTGCCTGAATCTTTCATTGTGTGACAGTTAAACCAGAATCTTCTTTTTATTGGAGATTCAGCCTCCTCACTCTGAGAGCTGACACTTACCAGTTGCTGAAAAGCAGGCTGATCTATGTCACTCTGCAAGGCGAAGTCACTCAGTACTTTCCAAGGCGGCTGGTAACTCTGCACCTCCACTGGGTTTGCCTGTAAGCCACCATCGTGTCTCTCTGGACTGGCAGCCACCATGGGAGTTCCTGTCATCCCCTGGATATTCTGTGAATAGGTCCCCCCAACCCCAACATGTTAATGACCAAACTCCCTCCCTCCATTGTCCGCACAGGCTAAGCAAATATACCCTGGCATTATCTTATCTATATAGTGGCCATTATTGACTCAGTTAATCTGCTGCATGTATGGATATTAGCCAGAGTTCAGTTTTGTTTTATTTTATTCTGTTTTTCTGCTTCTGCGGGTGAGACTAGTAGGTCTGCTTGGACCTTATTAAACTAAATTCTATTTTTTCTCCTTTCCCTTCACATTCACAGCTCATCCCAATTCCTCCCATCTGCCTTCACAGGCTATGGCATCACAGGGGTGGAGAGCTGCAGCCTCCAGACATGGTGGGTTTCGTGGGCAGTTTCAGTTACACTTTCTACAGGCACTTCTTTTCACAGCGCCAACCCCCACCCCCAAGCATTTGGGTCTGGCCGCTATTGTGTGCTATTACACACTCACCAACTTGAAAAGTGCCCCGGCTCAGGCTTGGCTGGCCTGCCAAGTTTAATGACAGCAGGGGTTTTATGGCATTTAAAAATAGGGCTGAAGCAGTAAAAAGAAAAAAAAAGAACCTCTTTAGTTTAACTCAACCAGAAATCCTGTGGCGTGGGTGCTGCCATGGGCCTGGGATGACAGTGTATAGTAATATCTCCGGAGGCCTGGGCTTGACCGAGAGCAGAGGGTGCCCTGTCTTCTCAGGTCACCTTGGTGGACCTCGCCAGTCTGAAGGCGCTGAGGCAGGCCTTGCTCAGAGTCAAGGGGCACACTCAGGGGGTCGGCGGCCAGGGTGACCCACCCACCAACCCCTGAATTAGATAGGGAGCCAAGGAGGTGTCTCTTACTCTGGTGCCTGAGGAACTGACACCCTGAACCCTGGCAAAACGGGGCCAGGCCTTGTTGCCCCCTGCCGGTGCAGTGCAGCGGTGACCCTGTCCTTCCGGTGCCTGCCGGAGTGGGGGCAAGGTTGAAGGGCACAAGCCCACCCACGTGGGCTGGGGGTGAAGGTGCCCGGCTCGGCAGGTGGCCCTTGCTGGCTTGGGTAGAGAGGGTGAGGGGCTGCTGGCTTTTGCCCTGGAGCAGGATGGAACGTACTTGCAGGCCAACCTGGGCAGCCCCTCTCCTACCTTGCATACTTGCTCTGCTCCCCCCTCAAGTCCCGTACAGACCCCAGGGCCACTCACAGTTTTGTCATTGGGCTGCTGCTGCTGGAGCTGCTTCATCATGATGCTCCGCTTCTTGTCCTTGCACCGCTTGTTTTGAAACCAGACCCGGATCACGCGGGGGCTGAGGCCTGTCATCTCCACCAGTTGCTCCTTCATGAGGGCATCTGGCCGTGGGTTGGCGGCATAGCAGGTCCGCAAGGTGTGGAGCTGCTTCTCGTTCAGCACAGTCCGAACGCGGGTGGTCTTCTCGGGCTGCTTGTGGACGTGGGGCCGCAGGGCCGGCTGCCTGGCAGAGATGGGCTCGGCTGCGAGGCAAGGGGTGCAGTGAGCGCGGGCCAGGCAGCTCACCCTCCCGTACTGCTCCCAGACAATGGCCAGTGCTTTGCAGCCTCGACAGACAAAGCAGGGGCAGCAGAGGTGGGGACCAGGGAAGCAAAAGGGAGAATAATATCTGGCTCTCTAATCTGAGAGGTCAGTGCTGAGTAATTCAGGCCCAGAACACAGCCTCCACCCTTGCTCTTGTCAACACAGCCTTAGCAAAGGGGCCCAGGTCTCAGGGGCAGCATCATTCAGCATTTTTTCTCCTCCTTCCTCGCCTGTCCTCATACCCAGACTGGGCCTAGGTTACACGAGTACCCACTACCTCCAGGCTCTTGGACAAAGGCCACAGATGGTACAAGGGGAAATGCAGAACACCCCAATGTCAACCAGAGACACTGTAGCAGCCCGGGAGGTCTCTAATGCAAAGGTCAAAGAGAATTCTGTCAGAAAGTCTTGAACATCAGTCCAGAGAGGGCAAGCATGTCAAGGGGCTAAAGAAATTCAGTATTCTGGCCATAACTCCAGTCCTTGATCTTTCTTACTACGAAATCTACTTGGCTGTTCCTGAGATGTGCTGACCCCATGCAAAAGAAAACTGAAACTGTTGAGCTGCCCAGGCTCTAGATAAATGACAGCTGGGGAGTGTTCTGTCTCCTGACTTCCTCCCAATATTTCCACCTCTTCTGTGTTTCTCCACAAGGAGAGCACAGGTTGCACAGAACAGAAATTGCCACTATGGCTTTGCCTCTGTGCAAGCTAGTCACACATCCCCCAGAACAGAAGTTTTACAGCCTCTGAGAAAGCGGAGTGGACAGATCTGTGTTTCCTCACCTTCAGTGTTTAGTAAGAAAGATACTTTAAAAATGCACCAGGTAGATCTATTCCTGAGGGGAAGTAAGTTTTGGAAACATTGTCTGCCTTCTAAGGGAAGGCCTCCTCCTGGCCAACCTTGCCCTGTTTCTATTCTCCTTCTTGGGGAAAGGGCTCTCGAAATGTATGGTACAAATCCTTCACCTTCCAGGACCCCTAGAGTCAGGTCAAAACCTACTGGGTCAATTTAGTGTTACAGTGACAGACCTGAAGATGAAATTCTTACCAAATCACATACAATGAATGGTTTAAAGAGGCAGGCTCCCTTTAAATGGCAATTATTGCAGATTAGCTTGTTGACAGTTTTAAATTACAGCTCTGTGCAATGGCCTGCAGTTATTAAGACTGTATCTTTTCACATCCATTCTTTCACAAAAGGATAAAAATAAATTTTAAAAATGTTTTAGAGTGTGGGGCAGTTGTAAGGAAAAAGGATTTGAAAGGCTAAATGACTTAGGGCCACCTAAGCTTCCTTCATTGGGTTAAAGGAGGAAGCTCCGGGCGACCGGAGCTCCACCCCTTTAATTAGGCAGCGGCAGGAAGAATACCTGGCAGGGAGCTGAAGCCCATTTTCAGGAAGCCCGGGTTTGGAGGCCAAGGTGAACTGGAAGTACTGTTTGGATGTGTGTATACATGTATGCACAAGAGGCGTACATTCATGTGTACTCATATTTAGACACGCAGATGTGTAGATGTGCTGGGGGCGGAGGGGGGGTTAGTCTGTGGACGCCGTGAGTGCACGGAATCTTGCGCAAAAGAGTGAAATACAGTGCAAACGGCTCCCAGAACATCTCCTTTAACTGCCAGCCACGGCCTCAGCAACTGCCCTGTGGCTACCAAGGTGACCGCGGTGGCCTACGCACTGGCTGGGGCTGCTGCTGGCCTAGCCCAGCGCCAGCCCCCGCCCCAGCCATCCTCCCTCCCGGCAAGGAGTACCTGCCATTTGCAGTGGCCGCGCCGGGTGCAGAGGGCTGAGTGGGTCACCGGCGCCCAGGCTGGCCCTCTCCACCACGTCGTGGTCCGCACGGCAGAAGAGCCCGTCCTCCCGAAGCGCGAACTCGTCCCCAGGGATGAGCTGACGGCTGCAGGCCACGCAGCGGAAACACTCGATGTGGTACACCTTGGAGCGGGCGCGCATCACGAAGTCGTTCTTGCTGAAGCCGATGCTGCACTTGGCGCATTTGATCCCGTACAACCTGCACGCCGCCGGGCAGGGACAAGGAGAAAAACACAGAAAAAGGGGATCACTTCAAGCCGGCACTGCCCTGGCCCAAGACTGCCGAGGACCCGGGCCACACTGCCCTGGGACGCTGAAATCAGCATTAGCCGACCAGCTGGGAATGGGAGGAAAGAAATCATTAAGTTTCTCTGACTTCTCCTCCCTTTCTTTTACCCCCCTTTTCTTTTCCTATGAACCTCTGTGTCTCCAACCATAGCTCTTAGTTCAGAACACCCCCAAAGTAAAAACGTTTGATGTGTTGGAAACCTGGACCTCTATTCTAGCCCAACCCCAGGGTAACCCTTGCAGCTTTTGGCAGAAAGGAGTCAGGGGGGACTCTGGTATCCACTGGCCCCACACTTTTGCCTTCCTATTCCCCAATTTCTGCCGCTAGAAATGTCTTTAAAACTGCTACAAAAAGTCTCTCCAAGAGAAAAAGGTTAGGAGACGAGACTGTCACCCCACTCTTTGGTAAATATACACAGATGCACAAGCAGAGTAACAAAATGAAACCTCTGAGGGTTTCCAGATTCCCTTCTGCACAATAAGCATGTTGCAGTTTTTCCACAACTAAAGATTTTTCCTCCGGTGTTTTTCCTCGGGTAACAATGTTAACAGAAAGTTTCCTCTCCATTCTTCCTTTTATTATTATCTTTAAAATCTGTTCCTGCTCCCTCAATCTTTTTCAAGCTGCTGAAGCATCTACCTCTATTTCAGTTTGCTTGAGAACCAGGACCAGCCAGAAAAATGAAAAAACCCATTTCTAAGGTCTTCCTCACGCCTGACCTTTCCTTACCAAAGGACAATCCTTGTAGGTTCCACCTAGGCGGCACTGCCCTGGCCCCCTCTCCATGTATCAGTAATAACAGAAGTGGGGGCATTCCTACAAACAGAGAATGGACCAGAGGAAAAGATCCACACATAATGGGAGGAGGGCACCTCACTCCCTCAAGGGGAGAAGGGCATTCAGACCTAAATAGTCTCTCTGTTCTGCTTTTACAACTACAGGAGTTCAAAGGGACACACACACACACACACACACACACACACACACACACAACTGAGAGAGAGTGAAGGGGAAAAGGCAAAAAGCAATTGGCTCCTTCTATAAATGTGTACGTGAAATTGGCTACATGAAGGTCTATATGCAGTTGAGGAAAACACTATCTCCATGGAGGAAAGATAGTCCTAGAGGTGCAAAGTGAGCTCTCCCTCTCCAGAATCTTGAGTTCACACACTAACCAAGTAAACAATGAAAATGGCTCATTTGTCAGAGGTTAGAAGGTAGATTCAAAAGTTTTTCTTCCCTCCGCCTACTCTATGTGAGATCTTCCATTTCATAGGATGAGGACTTTACCTTGCCTGTGACCAAACAATTTGGAAAATCCCTCCCCCTTCCTCCTGTTCCCCACTTCCCCTATTTCCTCCCACTCTCCTTCCCTCCCCACCCCCATTCCACAAAGTATTAATAAACCCTTAGACACACTGTTCAGTTTTACATATCAAGATTATACTCTCTATTTCATGATTTTACGCTAAGAAAAAGTGCTGGACACTAAGTGAACAGGTAAAAATTGTGACCACATACTTAATTCTTAACTAAACTTTAATATAAGTTCTCAGCTCCAGAAATTCTATACACTTACAAAAGCTAATTACTTGTTAATAGCCGCTGGAGAAATTTTAAAATTATATAATATTTTTATATTATTTAACATAAGAGTAAAGATGTTATCTCTTCTGTTTGTTATTAAAACAATAAAATTTTCTTTCGGAATTCTACTGACATCCTAAGGCAGAAAATGAAATTTCTGACACATCTCTGACACAGGTAGAGAAAATTTGAGATTTGTGAAGCATGAAGTTGAGACACAAAATAAACTGAAAGAAAAAAAAAACCCTCAGAAAGTCCCCTATGTGGTTTTAGTCTTGTCAGTATGGGCAATTCGCTCATTTTATCAGTTACCAGATTTTAATGTGAGAAAGGAAGCTGTTCAATTATCTAAATATACCAATTGTTCGTAGACAGATGATGGGCAATTTGATCTGCTCTGTCTAATTCATCAGCTCAGATAAGATAAGAAAGAAAAGATAGTCAGATGTCACCAAAGGGTTAATATTTAAAAAGATTAAATTTCCGGTCTTTTTTGCAGGGAATATTTGGATTGGTTTTGGAATTTTCCAAGAAAGGACTCTTATCCTAAAAATAAATGGGGCAATATTTCTATTTGCACTTTCAAGGTGCACGTCTAAACATCCTTAGGTCAAACTTTTATTTCACCTATTGCATTGACATCTCCACAAAATTTATAACTAATGAAACACTAAACTATAAAAATAAATAAATGAATAGGGAAAAACACTGCACAATACAATAAAAAAACAACCTTTAAAAAAGCAAGTGTAGAAAGCCCAATTATCCATCTTTAAATTTCTGCTTGTTTTGGAAGGGGGAGGGTGAAAGAAGAAAATAATTTGAGCATCACAAATTCCAAGGGCAATTAAACAAGCTTCAACACCACACAATTTATGAAAACCACTATTGAGTTTGTGGGGGGATTTCCCCTAAAAAGTGAGGTAAACAGAATAGTTTAATTTACGTTAACATACCTAAAGAATAACTTTTGCACACTGGACTCCACTAAGGCATACTTCGCAAAAAGACAAAGCCACATCAAGTAATAAAAAAAGGAGTAGAGAGACAGGGAAATCTCACAAAATTAAGGAAGCAATATAAATGGCGTACCTGATATAATCTCTTTTACAGTAGGTTTTCCCATCTCTAACAAAGCACGTACAGCTCTCATCCAAATACTGATTACACTCCGCACATTTCAAACATGCCGCATGCCATTCCAAATCCGGAGAAACCCTCAGAATATACTGATCGTGAATTTGATTGCCGCAACCAACACATAGGGAAATCAGACGTTTTTCTGAAATGAAAATAAATACATGATTGACTAACCGTTTACTTCCTACAGAGATAAACACACTTTTAGTGTCGTTCTCTTACTGGGCGTACTCTAGGAGTTTTTTTTTTCTCCCTTTCTTTTTTTTTTTTTTTTTAAGAGTATTGCACTTTGGGATGGTAATTGAAGTGTGCCATCAAAACCTTGACTCGTTTTAAAAAGGAGGTGGAATATATGTAAAATGCAGATTTGAATAGTCTACATTTGTAAGCCTAGCACGCAATCAAACCCGTTCATTTTGTGTTTCTTTTTCCTCCCTCCTCCCTCTTTGCCGTAATCATTGGGAAAGATTATGGATAAGTCAAGTCAAAGAAAAGGTTTTGACTAGAAGCGTTAAGTGAACGCTTATATTTTCCATGAAGCACGCTCTTAAATAGCACATAGGACTGGATATTGTTAGTAAGAGCAGACATCAATACAGTTGTCACTCGTTCTCTTTTGCAAGTCTAATGCTAATTCACATCTCCGGGTATTGTATGTACAGGCAGACCTTTGCAACGGAATAACCTCGGAGAGCTCAAGATTCCCGAGGAGGAAACCACCGCTTTAGCACCAGAAGGCTAGGGTTTTGGAGGGCACACAGGCGAATTCAAACACAAGGTACGATCAGTTTCCCGAAGATCAGAACCGACAGCAAGCATGCAGGCGTGGCGGCAACAAGAAAAAGCCACCTCTTCTCTCTCTCCAGGCAATGACTCCAACTGTGAAGAGCCCTTGGCACCCGTGCCTGAGAGAGACCCCCGCACAAGAACAGCACACCGAGCCCCACAAGGTAAAATAGCCTCTTACTTTTTGGTGGATCTCCCATGTCTCCCATATCTGTAAGAGGGAGTAATGTCCACAGTGAAATGGTGGTTGTACAGTTGGTGAACAGCCCACAGAGAGGATGCTGGAGCTGTGGCTAAGTGGGAAATAGTGGCCCCTGGGGTTGCCAAGGCTGAGAGAACCGCTGCCCGGCTGCGCCTCGCCCTCGCGGATCTGGGAGTCCAATTTAAGCCGGCGGAGTTGGCGGAGCAGAGGCGCTGCGGCGGCGGCGGACTCGGCGCGGCTCGGGCACCTCTCTTCCTTATCTCTTACTCAAACTTCTCAGCTCCAACTCAGCTCCATCGCCATTGGTCTGACGCAGCGCGCGGGGACGTCAGGCGAGCGCCGCGCCCATTGGCTGTGGGGCGCGCGGCGCAGCTGTTCTGATTATCATATTTCAGCCTCGCCGCTGCCGTGCGCCACTGACCGCTCGGCGAGCCCGCGGGAGAGGATTAGGGCTCCCGAGGCAACTTACTCTGGGCTCAGGCCGCTCTCTCCCGAAGCTCGGGCTGCCCGGCTGCTCTGGCTTTTGGCCTTCCTCTCCTTCTCCTTCTCCTCCTGCCCCCCCTCCCGTGCTCCTTCCCGGCGGTGCTGTCAGCGCCCTCGCCTCCTGTCGCGCTGCTCCTCCGCCCTGCGCTCCTGGGGTCCCCGCAATCCGGCTGGCCGTGTTGCGCGCGGGGCACTTTTCTGCCGCCGGTGGCGAGTGGCTGGTGGGTAGGTCTTCCTGATGACGAGGTCCTTCCAGGCCTCTAGGAAAAGGGGCGACTTGGAACAGGCCGTTTGGCTCGCTTTGGTCTCGCGCTTTAGCGCTCAGCTCCGGGCTTGGCCCGGCTTGGCTGCCCGGGAGGGTGAGTTCCCGAACTGGCTGCGACTGGCGCGCTGGGAGCTGCCTGGGGGAAGAAGAACCGGGAATGGGATGAATAAACCCACAGGAACTGTTCTCTTTTGCTACCCCACTATCCCGTTACCACCGACCTCAGATCTCCAAAGAGCTGGGGTGGGAGGAAAAGAGTGCTTCTTGCCTTTAGCGGAGAATCAGGTTGGGAGTACACAGGTAAAACTAAGTTGACTCCGCGACTCCTCTCTCTTCTAACAGTCCTTGAGGTCTGCTTTTGCAGTTTAGCCCTAGAATTTAGAAGCGCACTAACCCAAAGCCAAAGACTGAAATGATCTTCCAGTAGCGGAAAGTTTGTAAAGCGATTAATATATATCCTGTCCAGTTCCTCTGTCTGCTGGTGTCCTGCCCTTTGTTTTTAAGCAAACGTGTGCAATTTGCTGGTGGTGTTTTCGGCAATTATAAGGACAGTTCTCCATGTCTGTAGTCTAGAGATTTTAAAAAATGTGTTAGTTTAAGAGCGTGAGGAGGAAGGGATCAAATACTGAAAGGCAGTGAAATACCTGTTTCACTTCAGCGGGTTTGTTTATCTGATAATTTTCTCTCGGGAAACAACCTGGAGAAAGATGAACATTGGCTCCAACTCGCGGGTAACCTTTTTCAATAATTTCTGACATGTTCCCGTCACCTTTTACAGTCTCCCAAAAACAAAGTCACGGGAAAGTCCACGAAGAACACCCACACGTCTCCCAAAGTTTCTAAATAGCTAATCCTTATGTAAAGTGACTGCCAGTTTTCTCTTAAAAGGTCCACAAACCCAAGCAGAAGGCTTAACTTCGGTGTCTTGCTGCCGCGAGAAAACCCAGTTGTGTTAGGAAACTCCTTTCTTTGTACTTTTCGCCAGATCCAACCCTTGATAAGAGCTCTGAGCTCTCAGCTGGCCTCAGTAGCTCAGTTTGCATGGATATGCTTTTCCAGAGTGCAAAAAAACCTAAGATGTTTGAGTTTCCTCCTGACCTAGTTGGGCTTTACCAAGAACACGTATCTGTTTCGTTTTGTTTTCTCTCGAGGAAGAGTTTTAACTGGATCTCATGCCTTCTATTTTTATTATATCTGTGTGTGTGTGAAATTGAAAGTTGGAATAGACATAGGTTGATAAATTTATCCAATTTTTTGTTTAAACTGTTTTGTTTAAAGTTTCTAGTCTCCGGTATTCTATGCATGGAGCCTTTTGTCAGGCTGCTTTTGCAAAGCTGCTGCTGGTAATCAAAACACGAAGCCAAGTCTTCCCGGTATAAGGGCATGTTTCCCTTACAGATAACCAAGTTGACTCTAGTTTAAAAAAAAAAGAAAAGAAAAAAAGATACCACTATAATGCCAGAAAGTAAATGGAGGATTTTAACCAATCAAATTGCATTATGCCACCTTTATAACATGGAATTAAACAACAGAAGCTGCAGAAGCCTGATGACATATTTGAGATCCACAAAGCGCCCTCACTATCCATTCTCCTTCAAACCAGTCACATACACAGTGTGGTATTTTAACTTCCTGAACTGATAACCTATTCCAAAGAATTATTGCTGATGATGGTAGCAATTCCAAATAGAAAAGCTGGCATGTGGCTCGGAGGAAAACGTTTACTCATGGGCAGTTTCATCATAATGGTGAAGACACTTTTTTTCCCCTTTTTTTCAGCCCACACTGTTACTGTAATCAAGTATTTATTTTCTTAGTAAGTTCCTAAGCTGATAGAGGTAAAGATCATGCAGAAGGTACTCCCTGTTAAAGGGAGAAAGTTGAAGGAACCCAATAATATGTTGTTCCATGATGGATGTGTTCCTGAGTTCTGTGTCTACTGCTAATACATTTTGCATCAGAATCAAAGTTAGGGGAGCAGCCATTATTTTTTTCACTTCACCTGAAAGTTTAAATGTGACCACAGATTATTCTCCTCTTTCCTTAGCTGATTGCTACATGTGCATTTAATGCATCAAATATATCGGTAAAAAAATTGTGTAATGTTTTTATAGAATACAACAAACTGTGATTAGCAATATTTTCCCCCAGTACTTGATCACAGGAGCGACCTCTTGTGTTGAAAGGGGAGATTAGACCCTCTCCCCTCTCCTGACAAAAATGGACTTACTTTGACCTTTGCATGTTCTGTTAGGTCAAAAATACATCTTTCAGAACAGGAGTTGTGTGAATCCCCTTCTGTGAGCTCCTCTATTGATAAGAGAAGAAGAAGAATATTGGTAGTTACTAAGTATAGTCCCCATTACCTCCAGGCCACCCCAGTATACTTCACAGTGTCTTTGAATATAAAAGGTATATTGAGATTAAGTAAGTTCCTCTTGACTCTGTGGCGTCTGCCCACGTATACTTGTACACACCTTCCAAAATGCAGCTATTACACTTAAAACTCCTGGTGGGCTCTTAAGCCTATGTGTTTGTGTGCTGTTACTTTCTTTCTCTGCTTTAAAATGTAAACATTCCACATCAAACTTAATGCCAGATTGCCCTGAATGAATATGTTCTCAGGCTACTTTTCAGAAATCTAAATAGCTTTTAATTGCAATTGAAAAGTGGCATTACACATTTAGAATGTATTTATTCCCCAACAAGTTCTGGCAGATAAAAGTGAATTTTAGCTCAGTTCTTTGGAAAATTATGTACAGTAAAGGAAAAAGCTTTCTCCTTCCCCACTAACCAAGATTGGGAAGAAAAGGGGGTTTTGATCAGCTTTCTCTGAACTATGAATTTGTTTTGGAACTTATTCCCAGGGAGGTGAAGCTCTCTTTAGCCCACATCAGAATCGGATTTGAAGGAGTAGAATAACAATTGGTCTTCCAGTTTCCGTGAAAAAAAAAAAAAATATATATATATATATATGACAGAAGGATTTATTTTTTCTGGTATTCAAAAAACATATAATTTGGAGGTCAAAATGAACATATTCACCTCAGAAAATAGGTATAGAATATATGAATATGTACTCCATTCCCCTTCTCATTTTTACTTTTTCTGTGTAGTCTTAATCATGTAGAAAAGGCTATATAACCATCAGTATCTTAAATCACATCCAAGGGTCAGATAAAATTATGTGTGTTTAAAGAGCGTAATGATTAACCATTTATATTCCTCCCAGAATGAGGGTATGGGTGTTTAGAGCCAATTTGCCCCTCTTCCAGTTGTTTTTAGGTGGTGGCTTACTGAGGATGAATCAAGAGAATCTACACTATAATTTCAGAGGAGAAGGGAAGAGATCTTTCTGTACCATTGGGTTTGAAATGATTGTCTCTCTTTCCTTTAATCGTCCATTAAAAAAATACCAAGCAATGATAATAATAAAGGCAGTTGTTAACAACAACAACAAAAAAAAACCCTTCAGTTGTGATTCTAGTTTTATTGACGGGGACTCCTGCTGTGAATGTGGTTTTGTTGAGTGTCAATTGCTTTATTAACCAGTTAGAACAATCTGGGTGAATTAGCAAGAATCTTCTTCTGCAGGCTGAACTTGTTAGCCTGCGTTTCTGGGTTCAGGTAGCTGTTTCTGTCACCAATGTTCCCGATATTCTTTACTGGCAGAGGCAGCCCAGGGAGGCAGCGTTCATGTGCGGTCTGCTGCTCGATTACCAGCCGAGATAGAATTCCATGCTCCCGGCAGCCGGGAAGCCACAAACCTCAGATCATTCTTGAGAATGCGAGGTTCGCTGTTCATTGCAGGAAGGAGTTCGACCAATAGAGGACAGAAATTTGCACCCTTCATTTAAAATTGTGCCTCTGGCAGTATGATCACACAGAAGCGGCTGGTAGTGTCAGGTGAAATTTTTTTTCTTCCCTTTTTTTTGGGGGGGGGGTTGTTTATTGTTTTTGGAACTGTAAATGACTAGGAACAGGTAATTTTTAACTGGACCAGAGTTCTGCGTGGAACCCAGGTTGGAGCCAGTGAGTGCTATGTGGTGACTGGGAGGTTCTGGCCCAAGGACGCACTGAAACCTACAGCTCGCAAAGCTTTCATTAAATGTATCGGATTCTCGCGAGGGTAGCTGGGAGTCTGGAGAGGAGAAAAAACTTCATCTCCCAAGTCCTGGACGATTCGGCTGAAAGCTAACATACCTGCACTGAAGCTAGCAAAACACCCACGGGCCCACCGGAGCTCTCAGGAAACCGGG